GCACTCAGGCAATACAGTATCACTGGTGCATCCAGGTGGTAATTGGACGCCCTTACTAAACATGAAGGTGATCTGGTACTATTTTTGCCCCCGCCCCAATGCAATATCCTCCTATTTAACCCTGCAGTCTATGGGCTCATTTAGGCTTGCTTTTGATGGGAGCTAAATATACACAGACAAAAGAAAGGAAACAGGAGGCGCCCATCTAAGTGCAGCAGATAAAACTGTATTTAATGGCAAAGGATTAAAAAACACTCACAAGAGTAATACGAAAACAAGCTCATCTGTGTATATAGGATGACCGTTCCTCAACGTCCTGCTGGCACCACTGGTGGCAAGGAGGTTGTGTTCTGGGCTGATGGAGTAGTGGGAAGGTACAGTAAGGGTCAACCCTGAAGAGAGATGGTGTAGTATGGCCGATCCAGCGGTGTCTGTACAGGAAGGGGCCGTGCAACCAGCCTGGAGCGCACCGGTGGAAGCAGGGGCGGACTGACCATTTGGAAACTCGGGCATTGCCCGAGGCCCTGGGGTCAGTAGGGGGCCCCATGAGATGCCCCTGGTACCTTTTTCATAGGCTTTTTTGAGTTTGGGCAAGGACACAGGGACCCATGATCCCCTATTGCCCGGGGGCCCCATGAGTTGTCAGTCCGCCCCTGGGTGGAAGTGACATCATCGGAAGAGGCGGAGGGTCACTTAGATCAGAAGACACAGACGTGGGACAGGCAGGCTCAGGGGCGGACTGACAACTCATGGGGCCCCCGGGCAATAGGGGATCATGGGGGGCCCCTGTGTCCTTGCCCAAACTCAAAAAAGCCTATGAAAAAGGTACCAGGGGCATCTCATGGGGCCCCCTACTGACCCCGGGCCCTCAGGCAGTGCCCGAGTTTCCAAATGGTCAGTCCGTCCCATGGGCAGGCTACGCACTCAGAGCCTCTAGCTCCTTCTATTGGCCTAAAGTTATTGGGAGCGGTTTCAGCTTAAATAGGAGACGCTGTCAATCGTGGGACAACAATGCTCAGCAGAGATTTAAAGACAGTGCCTTAACCTTTTTTCAATCGTGGGACAACAACGCTCAGCGGAGATTTAAAGGTACAGTGCCTTAACCTCTTTCTGTCCAGGCCATTGCCGGACAGGAGCGCTGCTGATGCGGGTGGACGTTTCTAAGCGTCCCCCCACATCCTTTGCTTGTGCGCACTCCCTGGGAGCGTGCAGCACTGCGGAACACAGATCGCTGTACGGGACCTCTGTGTGAGGTCCCGATTCATGTGATCACTGATTGACCAATCAGTGATCACATGAATAGTAGTAAACAAGATGTCAATTCCTGACATCATTGTTTCCAACTAGTGAAATCTGTGAATGATCACAGAGGTCACATGGTACAAGGCTATTCACAACATCCTTGTACCATGTGACAAGCTGTGACCAATCACAGCTCTCACAGTATTTCTCATTGGCTGCAGGAATGCAGCAAGAGAGGAGAAATTATTGTTTTTTACAGCCTTTATGGGCGTAAAAGCAATCAGTGTAGAAAAAGAATGAAAAAAAAAATCTTCATCACCCCCACAAGTAGTACAGTGTCACTATAGGGAAGCTGTACTGCTAGGGTGACAGTATGAAAAAAAATAAATAAATAATAATTATATATATATATATATATATATATATATATAATTAAATAATAATATAAAAAAATACAATAAAAATGTATAAACAAAATTTTAAATTATAATTTTTGGTTATAAACTACTTTGGGTTATTTTTTTTTACTAAAAAGATAGATGAATACATTTTGGCCAAGATTTATGAAGAAAGATTATTTGCAACATTTTATAAGAAAAACATTTTTTTTTTCAAGATGACTCCGCTTCGACTTCTTTCTTTTCTAATGTATTGGTGTTCTCAGAAGCCCATAGTTAGGTTAGAATAGCTGGGGGCAAACTTTGCCCCCATAGCCGTGCCGTTCTTCTGTAAGAAGAAATCACCTTCGAATTCAAATCCATTTTTGTCCATTTGTCAGCTTGTAATAAAAAAGGAAACAAACATGAGCTGTCATATGGGTACAGTGTTGCATGACCGCGCAATTGTCATTGAAAGTGTGATAGCACTGAAAGCTGAAAATTGGCCTGGACTAGAAGGGGATGAAAGTGTCCGGAGTTGAAGTGGTTAATGGAAAAAACTAGTGTGGAACAGTAAAGAGTACCGGACAAAAAGCATTACTAATGTGGAACAATAAATAGTACTGGGCGAAGCACCGATCTTATAAAATAACAATTAGAAATGACAATGAATGATAATAAAGGAGAAATTGATAAGGAGATTGATAATAATACATAAAAGTGTTTATACACTAATAATAACATGCTAAAGAGTATGTATGGAATTAAAAATGACCATGATACAATACCAATAAAAATGACAATAAAACGCATAAGTGTAAATGGGATGGATTATAAATGTAACCAAAGGAGATTTAATATTCAAAGAAAGAGAGAACTAGGACATTATAATAGCCATCTGGCCATGTACACATGTTGACAAACTCATCTGTGCATCACAATACAACAGGCCTTGGTGCGAAGGATAAGTGGATATGTATGAAAAAATGTATGAATGATTACAGTATAGTATGTATTTCAATCTCTTCGTTCAGCCCTCCTGGGACTTAAGTACCTAAAGTATAGATCCAAAACGTTTTGTGCTGACAGAGGCACTTGAAGCGCTCCGCCACAGAGGATAATGTGGGAATGTGTTCCAGGATCCACACAGAGATTCCCGTGATGGATTTCTTATGATGTTCTGCAAAGTATCTGGGGACACTATGTTTATTGGATCCTGCTTCAATGAGACATGTGTGTGTGTTCACCAAAACGTTTACGTAACACCCTGATGGTCCTCCCTACATTATTATTATTATTATACAGTATTTTTAAAGCGCCAATAGTTCGCTCAGCGCTGTACATTAGAAAGGGGGACAGAACATGTGACAGAACAATACCAATACAATGCAAAACATGAGGGGATTGAGGGCCCTGCTCTTTGGAGCTTACAATCTAGGAGGGAGGGGATGGTGGCACAGGAGGAGATAGCTGTGGGGGATGGAGTGGTAGGAAGAGTGGAGGAGGTCGGCAAGTTAGCAGGGGGTGGGGTAGGCTTCCCTGAAGAAGTGGGTTTTCAGGGTGCGCCTAAAGGAGAGGAGAGTAAGTGATAATCTGATGGGTTGGGGCAGGGAGTTCCAGAGGAAGGGTGACACCCTGGAGAAGTCCTGGAGGCGGGCATGGGAGGAGGAGACCAGGGAACTAGAGAGAAGGAGGTCTTGTGAGGAGCGGAGTGTGCGTGCTGGGTGGTACTTGGATATTAGGTCCGTGATGTAGTTCGGGGCAGTATGGTGGACAGCTTTGTACGTCAGTGTTAGGATTTTAAATTTGATCCGTTGCGCAATAGGAAGCCAGTGGAGGGATTGGCAGAGGGGGGGTGGCGGAGATGGAGCGGTTGGAAAGGTGAATGAGTCTAGCAGCCGTATTCAGGATCGACTGAAGCGGGGATAGCCAGCGGCGAGGCAGGCCAGTGAGGAGGGAGTTGCAGTAGTCGAGTCGTGATATGATGAGGGAGTGGATGAGCTGTTTAGTGGTTTCTGGGGTTAGGAACGTGCGTATTTTGGCGATGTTGCAGAGGTGGAGTCTGCACGAGTTTGTTAAAGCTTGGACTTGTGGCTGGAAAGATAGGTTGGAGTCCAGAATGACACCAAGTACTCTGGCATGCGGGGCGGGTTTGATGGTGGCGTTGGATGTGATGGAGAAGTCAATGGGGGGTGGTGTCCAGGCTGGGGGGAAGACAAGAAACTCGGTCCACATGGGCATGTCAAACAGTAAAATCACATATTCAGTGGCACAGTTGTAAAATTCTTTGATAGAGTAAGTTATCCCTTTGATGGTGTATGTTTTCTGACCATGTTGGATGAAGGGGCACGTAAGGCACAATGTCTTCTTACATTGATACATCCCAACCAGGGGGATCAATATAGTACTCGGTTTGGGTTTGGACATGTGTTTGATTTTACTAGTAGCTATTTGGCTTTTGATGTTTTTGGCCTTCCAGTATGAGACTTTGGGGCACTCAGTGATAGATGTATGTAAGAAGGGATCTTGTAGTATGGGCCAGTGTCTACGCAGGATATTCTCCATTTTCATGTATTGAATGTGAAATTGAATTGTGAAGCGGATGGGTTGTGCATTTTTATCTGAGGCTGGTTTGTTGAACTTCCGGACTGATCTATCTCGGTAATACTGAAAGGAATCTTTATGAGGGGGGCTGGGTATCCTTTTCTAGGAATTCATTAACCAGGATTTTGCCATGGTGGATATAATTGGCCTCCCTAGTACAATTATTTCTTAGTCAGGAAAATTGGCTCTTAGGAACATTTTTAACCTACCAGGGATGATGGCAACTCTGGAAATGAATATATGAGTTCCCTCCGGTGGGTTTAACATAGTTTTGGGAGAAGATCTTATCATCATCATGGCAAAGGTGTAGATCGAGGAAAGCGAGGGTGTGAGGATCTTGTATATGGGTGAAAGATAGTCCTAGATGGTTCTGATTACAATATTATGCAAATGTATCAACAGTCTGAGTGGGGCCATCCCATATGATGATGATATCATCTATATATCTTCCATAGAGCACAATATGGGCAGCAAAAGGATTATTGTGAGTAATATATTGGTGTTGACAACTTATACACAAAGTGCACTGTTCACTTAAACCCCAATGATATAAATACTGAAATGACTATGTTTTCAATTAATGTATACAATATATAAAAATGCAAAAAATACACCATTATATGACATATAAATCAATAAATACTGCACAAATGAACAAATATCAGTATATAAAGACCCCAATCCAGTGTGAAGAAAAAGTGCTGTGGTGAATATATCTTCCAAAAAGTGCTGTGGTGCTCAATGGTGCTCGTCACAAAAAACTGACAAGCCTCTTACCAAACCAAGTTGACCTCAAGCTATAGAGATCCAATAGGCAGAAAATATCCCGACTCCACACCAGGGGCGGACGGACAACTCATGGGGCCCCCGGGCAATAGGGGCTCATGGGGCCCCTGTGTCCTTCCCCCACTCAAACCACACCCAAATAAGCCTATGAAAATTACCAGGGACATCTCATGGGGCCCCCTACTGACCCCGGGCCCTCGGGCAGTGCCCAAGTTCCCCAATGGTCAGTCCGCCCCTGCTCCACACTGACACTCTCACTTAGTGAGAGTGTCAGTGTGGAGCAGGGGTGGACTGATTCCAAAGGATGGATGGACAAAGGATGGATGGACAGCTGCAAGCTCCCCAGGAGCCGGTATACTACTCAAAACCACTCTCCGCAATGGTATATGAAGAGTTAAAACAGAAGAAACGTCATAGTGCAACCCAATAAAAGAATACTGTTTATTAAAGTGGAGCTCCACCCAAAAGGGGAAGTTCTGCTTTAAGGACTGCTCCTCCACTCCCCATTAAGGATTGGCACCTTTGGGGGGTGAGTGGAACTCTGCTTTAGGTTAAAATGTTTCACTTACATTCGATTTGGTACAAAGGAAGCAATGAAACAAATACAACTCAGCCGTGGTGTCAGTCCGCCGGCTTGTGTGCGGTGACGTCACAAGATGACTCCACTCCGACTTCTTTCTTTTCTAATGTATTGGTGTTCCCAGAAGTCCAAAGTTAGGTTAGAATAGCTAGGGGGAAAATTTGCCCCCATAGCCGTGCCGTTCTTCTGTAAGAAGTAATCACCATCGAATTCAAATCCATTTTTGTCCATTTGTCAGCTTGTAATAAAAAAGAAAACAAACATGAGCAGGATATTTGCTAAATACTTACCACTACAGTTCTGCGTACTTACTCTACATCAGTAAAGCTATATATACTGACACCATTGATGATAGTGAGGCAACCAATGGTGGAGAAGGATCTGGGAGTTCTGGTAGATCACAAGCTTAATAATGGCAGCAATGCCAAGCTGCGGTTTCTAAAGTGAGCATAATCCTCTCTTGTATTAAAAGAGCTATAGACTCCAGAGAGAGAGATATCATTTCCCCCGGTACAAATCATTAGTAAGACCTCATCTGCAATATGCAGTTCAGTTTTGGGCACCAATTCACAAAAAGAACATTGGGGAACTGGAGAAAGTACAGAGAAGGGCAACCAAACTGATAAGAGGCATGGAGGAGATCAGCTATGAGGAAAGATTAGAGGAACTGCATTTATTCTCTCTTGAGAAGAGGAGATTAAAGGGGTGATATGATCTCCATGTATAATACATAAGGGGGGATATGATCACCATGTATAATACATAAGGGGGATATGATCTCCATGTATAATACATAAGGGGGGATATGATCACCATGTATAATACATAAGGGGGGATATGATCACCATGTATAATACATAAGGGGTGATATGATCACCATGTATAATACATAAGGGGGGATATGATCACCATGTATGATACATAAGGGGGGATATGATAACCATGTATGATACATAAGGGGGGGGGGGATATGATCACTATGTATGATACATAAGGGGGGATATGATCACCATGTATGATACATAAGGGGGGATATGATCACCATGTATGATACATAAGGGGGGATGTGATCACCATGTATAATACATAAGGGGGGATATGATCACCATGTATAATACATAAGGGGGGATATGATCACCATGTATAATACATAAGGGGGGATATGATCACCATGTATAATACATAAGGGGGGATATGATCACCATGTATAATACATAAGGGGGATATGATCTCCATGTATAATACATAAGGGGGGATATGATCTCCATGTATAATACATAAGGGGGATATGATCTCAATGTATAATACATAGGGGGGATATGATCTCCATGTATAATACATAAGGGGGGATATGATCTCCATGTATAATACATAAGGGGGATATGATCTCCATGTATAATACATAAGGGGGATATGATCTCCATGTATAATACATAAGGGGGGATATGATCTCCATGTATAATACATAAGGGGGGATATGATCTCCATGTATAAATACATCAGTGGTTCATATAGTGTATTGTTTGTTGGTTCATATAGTGAACTCGGTGTAGAGCGATTCCCCCTGAGGTCATCACAGAGGACAAGGGGGCACTCTTTACATCTGGAGGAAAAGAAATTTAATCTCCAAACACGGAAAGGTTTCTTCACAGTAAGAGCTGTGAAAATGTGGAATAGACTCCCTCAAGAGTTGGTTCTGGCCATCTCAGTGGATTTCTTCAAAAAAGTCCTGGATTCTTTCTTAGATACACAGAATATAACTGGATACTAATATGTATAGGTAAAGTTGATCCAGGGAATATCCGATTGCCTCTCGGGGGATCAGGAAGGAATTATTTTTTCCCAGCAGGTGTAAATTGGATCGTGCTTTCCTGGGGTTTTTTTCTTGCCTTCCTCTGGATCAACTGTGGGTATATGATTATAACTTTTTTTTTTTCTATGGTTGAACTGGATGGACTTTTTTCTAGGTTAAATGGAGAGGTCACCAATAGCAGCCTTATTTAGCTGTAGATGGAGTAGGAAAGGCTTAGAACCCCTTTCAGATTTTTATTGCTGGGGTGGATTCACCCTCTCTGTTTGTCCTGTAACCATTGTCACTAGGACTGAAAATAATATGAAAATCCAAAATTCAAAAAACCAAAGACAGCTCTTGGTCTCCACTAACGATCGGTACCTAGTGGGACTAGCTCCTGATCATGTGGCAACCAATCACAGTGGTCACATGATCACTGATCCTTCCTGCCCCCTGAGCATAAAGACTCAGTTTAAGGGACACCAGGGCTGGGTGGGAAGGGGTTAATATAGGGAAGGAAAGCAGGTACTCTTTACACTTTACAAGTTTATAAAAAGTCTTGTCTAGAAATCCAAACCAACTGCCCTCCCCATCTACTCTTCAGAAGTACTGTATGTATATATTAAAGGACTATGCACTGGGGTTCCCAACTCCACCCACTTACTGTGGCCTTTGTGTATGGAAAAACTTAATCCATTCGGTTGGCTCTTGTGTGATGGAGACTGAAGTAATAAGAGTGAGATTCAATAACCAAGGGAGATAGAAGCCAGTGAACCATTTCATAATCAAGGTGAACTGACAGCAGACTGACCCTTTAATCACCCATGAACCAATCACTACCATGCCACTTACCTCTTCACAGAAATAATTATCCATACACACAAATTCCACTTACTCCATCCGCTGAGCTTTAAAAATCCAGTAGTAACAAAGTCTTTTTATGCAGTTTATTTTGAAAGCTTGAATTTACTCCTCCCTTCAAACCGTCACTGCGACAGCGAGCAAAATTCACACCGCCCGCAGTCCTTGTTGTGCATCATCTCGGCAAAAAAAAGGGACTGTGATGCATGTGTAAATTTAAAACTGAATTTATCTTCCCTATTAAAAAGCAGTGGAGTGATATAGTGGTCCAGGCTCGGAGGAAGAAAATGCGATTGCAATTTTTTTTCTCCCAAGATCGTTGCAAATGCTGTTTACGGAAGTTATCCTCTTGGCGTATTATGGCAGTTATGAATAGGGAGAGACAACTTGCTGGCAGCAAGGGGAATGTGTCTATTCATTAACTGGTAAGCCTTGTCAACTCGCTGATAGTGAAGATGCTGCTAGGTCCCGACGCTGACAAGGATTTTTTTTTTCAGATGGAATCGAGAGGGATCAGGACCACTGTCAGGATTTTATTGCTGAAACAAGAAGAAATAAGACAGTGAATCAGAAAATCAGTTAGCTCATGATAAGGCACAAAGACATTGGCAGGACCACTAATGACAAATTAGGGGTGTCTCTCAAACAAGGAAGGCAGATTTGAAGATTCACATATATAAAGTCTAAAACAAACAGTCTGAGAGTCCAAAATCTTTTAATTTTAGTGTTGGTTCACAGACAACTACATAGAACATCCAACACATTCCAGTGGCTCAAAGACTCCTTCATGGCTTAAACCTAATGGATTATCATAAACTTGCTCAAATCAGCCAGAGTTCAAGAAGAATTTCAGGTATGGATATATTTATATAGTTGCACTGATCCATTCTGGACCAATATAACCATGTATATACCATACTTAGGGTAGCCCTCTAAATGCTGGAAAACTCTATAGTAGGCACCACTAATCTATAGTAGGCCCTGCTGCATTGTGAACATAGAAGGTTGCCTCTTGGTGTAGGCTCCATTCAGACAATTCTTTCTGTTTTTTACAATGAGTGCAAAGCATTCTCTGATTGGACGAGATGGAGAGTATGGCCTTGCTGCTCCATTCCTCCACCTTATTCAATCAAAGAAGGCTTTGAAGTCATTGAGAAAAAGTGATCTCTGAATGGCACACATGCGAAGAGGACAACCTCCTGTGTTCACAATGCAAGCTGCTTGGCATGGGACTCAGACCAGTAGAGATCAATGGAGTAGCATTGACTACTACATTGTTTTCCACCTTCTAGAGCAGCCTCTCTCAACTAGGGTTTCGTGGAACCCTAGGGTTCCCCAGAGGTTCTTAGGGGTTCCTTGAACAATAAGTAATTTCTGTCTCTCAGATAAGTTCCCACTGACCACAATGTTCATTTTCACTATCTGTAAGTGGGTTATTCTTCCCATTGACCTCAGATGTAAGGATCATTCTTACCGTTCCTGCATATTCCTCCATATTTGAAAGGCTGAGAGCAGCTGTTCTGGAGGGATCCCACAGGTACGGTATATACATAGCTACATTGGCCCGAGCTGTAAAAATATCCATACCTGTAATTCTACTTTAATTATTTGTTGATTCACTCATTGTGGTTGTAAGCAAATAATGAACTCTTGGTAAATTGTGTCATTGTTGAGTCATGAAGCCCAGAAGAAGTTCTTTGAGCCCCTGAAACGTGTTGATTTTTCCGTTGCCGTATGGGAACCAATACTAATATTAAATGTTATTCGACTCTTAGATTGTTTGAGACTCTCATTAGACTTTTTATACAAATATTTTATTGCTGTGCATGCCCCAACTGGGAACATTCTTGCTCCACATTTATCCTGGTGGCCATTATCACTGGAACAGTAAGCAACTGGAAATCCAAATTTTTCAGTTGTGACTGAAACAGAATGTAAAGAGAAATCTTCCAATAGGGTACCTCAAAGGCTAACTCCATATCTATGGTAAATTAAATAGGTTTCCAGATAAATGAAAGG